TTTCGAGTCCTTTCTCTATGAATCTCTATACCTATGACATAGGAGGCTTCACCCATATCCTTCATATCAAAGTTTTGTAAAAGAAATTCTTTAGTTTTATGCAACAAACCCAAATCATTGGCGGCAAGTAAAATGTCATCGACATACAGGACTAAAAAAATGTATTTACTCCCATTACCCTTAAGGTATATGCAATGATCCACAACATTCTCCTCAAAACCATATGAGGTAATAACATTATGAAACTTAAGATATCATTGGCAGAAAGTCTGCTTTTGTCCATATATGAATTTTTTTAGCTTGCAAACCAACTGATTATCCTCGTCAAAACAAAATCCTTCAGGCTACTTCATGTACACTTTTCATCAAGATCCCCATTTAAAAAAATTGTATTTACATCCATTTGATGTTGCTCTAAATCGAAATGAGCTACTAATGTCATGATAATCTAAACGAGTCTTTTTTAGAAACTGGAGAGAAGGTATTTTGATAGTCAATACCTTCTCTTTGAATGAATCCCTTAGCTACAAGTCTGGCCTTATATCGTTCGACATTACCATTTGAGTTTTTCTTGGTCTTATAGACCCACTTACAACCAACGGCCTTGACTCCCTTTGGTAACTCAACAATTTCTCAAATTTGATTTTTAGCCATGGATTTCATCTCTTCTTTCATGGCCTTGCCGAATTTTCTCCACTCATGGCATGTGAAAATGAGATAGGATGATCCTTATGTCCAAACATCAAAGTCATACTTCAACAAGTACACAACGTAATCATCAGAAATAGCGGGCCTTCTTACCCTTGAGGATCTCCTTAATTCTGCAGTCTCATCCATGTTTTATGGGTTTAAAGCTATAGACTCTATGTTGACTTATTCCTCTTATGGTGGTGGTATTTGAATATCATCTGGATTATCCAGAATGACAACCATCTTATCTTTAATTTACGGGTATGATATCCGAATCCCGTGATTCCTTCTACTCAATCTTTTGAAAAATACTCCCATTAATACCAACACCCTCAATAAATTTTGTATTTCTGGCCTCAACAATTCTAGGTATGTGATGGACAATAAAATTTAGAACTTTTAGACTTTTTTACATAGCTAATGAAATATCCACTGATTGTCCTTTGGTCCAATTTCATTAATTGTGGATTGCAAACATTAATTGTGCAGCGCCATTTGTGAAAATCTCCTAAACTGGGTTTCCATCTTTTTCATAATTCAAATGGAGTTCTGGAAACAGCTTTAATGGGAACCGTGTTGAAGATATACACTGTTATCTTCAAGGCTTCACTTCATAAAAACAAAGGAAGATTAGAGTTGCTTAACATACTCCTTACCATGTCTATAAGGGTGCGATTTTGCCTTTCAGCCACACCATTTTGGTAAGGTCAACCTGACATAGTATACTGAACAACAATATTTTCATCCTTTAAAAATTCAACAAATAGACCAGACATTTATCCCAAATCTATATACCTTTTATAATATTCTCCACGCCTATCAGATTGTACAATTTTAATTTCCTTTTCCAATTGTTTCTTTACTTTCCGTTTGAATGTTTTAAAAGCATCCAATACCTCAAATTTTTCAAAAAGAAGGTAGAGATACATAAATCGTGTACGGTCATCAATGAATGAGAAAATATTTCTGACCATTTAAGCAAGGGCTAGGGAATGGTACACAGATATCAGTGTGTATGATTTCAAGTATTTCTTCACTCCTCTTGGCACCTTTACTTGCCTTGTTAGTTTGTTTTCCCTTTTTGCAATCCACACAAGTACTAAATCAGAAAAATCAAGAGTCTTTAAGACTCCATCATTAACCAATCTTTTAATTCTTTTTATAGAGATATGTCCTAATCTCTTGTGTCACAACATAGAGGAATGCTCATCAATAATAGTTCTTTTAGTGCCAATCATCATGTACAGTTAGAAGACTTTGTTCAAAAACAAGATCCAAATTTAATTTGTACAAATCACTAAGGTTCCACAACCAACCAAACCAGAGTTTTTAAACAAACGAAAGTTTGAACCAACAAAGCTGAATTCAAATCCTAAAGGTACTAATTTAGAAACATAAACTAAGTTCTTAGAAAACGAATGAACATAAAGAGTGTTTTCAAGATCCAAAACAAAGCTGGATCCTAAAAAAGGTTTGAAGATTCCAATAGTCTCGATGTGCGAACGCATCCCATTTCCTTAATAGATACCATGTTCATTTCCCATCATTTTTCTTAGGTTGAGAAAACCTGCATGATATTGACACCATGAATTGTAATACCCGAATCAATCCACCAAGTATTATGATGAGAATCAATTAAATTGGATTCATAACACAAGAGATATGAGATTACCTTTATTCTCAAGTCACTTATATTTCAGGCAATCTTTCTTGATGTGTCCCTTTTTCTTGCAGAAGAAGCATGCATCCTTATAGCTATGTTTCTTGAATGATGCTTTGCCATCCTCCTTCTATTTAGGAACACCTTTTCTTTTCTTTCTTTGTCCACCTTCATGAGTGACTAGATGAGCACTCTCAAGATTTTCATCCTTAAGTCTCTCCTCTTCTTGAACACAAATGGTAAGAATTTCATTAATGGACCATTTTTCTTTATGTGTGTTGTAAGAGATCTTGAATGGTCCAAATTCTGTAGGGAGAGAGTTAAGTATGAATTGAACAAGGAATGACTCAGAGATCTCAATCTCAAGGGACTTAAGTTGAGCTGCAATGTCCTACATTTCCATAATATGTTCAAGCACACTCCTAGATTTATTGTGCTTCAAGTTATCAGGGTGCTGGCCAATCCTTTATCAAAACTGACAAATTGCTCTTCAATAGCCTTCATATACCCTTCACTTTATCACATTTTGGAATAGAGCCTCTAATACTATTGCGCACATGGGAAACCTCTAATACTCTTGCTCACATGGGACTTAATGAGCATCAGACTTAGGCGATTAGATCGTTCCCACCGCTCATAGGCGCTCTTTTCGGTCAATGAACTTAACTTGGAGGGTACTGCCGGTTCTTTAATGCGAAGGGCCAAATCCAAATCCATGCACCCTAATGTCAAGAGAATTTTTGTCTTTTCAACCCGAAATTTTTTTTTCCCACTTAGCAATGGAATGTTAGAAGACTCCGTATTAAATAAAGAGGTAGCAACAGCTGCAATAACCAAGAATACAATTAGCGCTTTGAAACAATAACTGTAACCTCAATCGACTAATGTCAAGTTCAATAAAGCAAAAATCTAAACCTTCCTGTGGGTAGAGGTCACGGACTATATAAGATTTGTTTATAAATAAGCCTAATGAATTTAAATATCAAGGAGCAAAGGATCCCAAACCTGTGGGTATAAGGTATCCAAAGCCCTTAATACCCAATTCATTATCTTATTCCAATTAAGCAGAGTAAAATAAATACTTTCCTGTAGGCCCGAGTAATTATTTATAACAACTTAATTGCAATATGGAGACACTAAACATATACTCAATATGATCAAACTAATGTAGATCATTCACTATCATAACTCAATATGTTGTGGTCACTCTTAAGTTAATATGATATATCCATGTGATCATAGTTTATGACATAAACAAATTTTTCATGTCAAATAATTCCTTAAAAATGCTTCTGTTTAGCATGTATATAGCATAACCAGACTTAATCTAAAAGTATGCTAATATTATTGGATAATTATCAGAAGCAAAGCCATGTACACAAGTCATGAAAACCATAGCTATTAACATTTTCATGTTAAACAAGTGATTTTCCCAAAACGCATGTGATGCATAAAAATTACCAAAAGTCTCCATAACACATGCATATACTGTACATGTATAGTACCTAATAATATGCTTAGATACTGGAAAAATTATGATAACCAAAAACATGTCATTGAACAACTCGTAACATTAGTGCAAAGTTTGAACATTAATTGAGCTATGCAAATGAATTACAGCAGGTAAAAAATAACAGGACTACGATTGTGTCAAAATAAATCGATGAGCCCATAATGGAAACATGGGTTGTTTTCGACTCTAAAGTATTTGTTTCTCTTCAAAATAACCCACTATTAGAACATAATTTGACAATTTATTTGACAATCTAAATCAAAAACACCACAACTTTCTTCGAAATTGGATTTCGAATATAATTTTATAGGATCAAACGATGAAAGTTGAAACAAAATTCTATGTGCAAAGATGAAACAAAATTCTTGTTCAAAACATGTTTCATGAAAAGTGGTCACAAGTTCTAAGCCTTCTTTAGTCTTTCTTCAAATCCTTGTGACATTGCCCAGATCATGTACGACAGAAAATAACATTCCATATTGCAGATGACAAAATTTGAGACCTATCGAATATCAGCATATTCAAAAAAACATATTTTCAAGCCAAACAACGAATTGCTGACAAAAATGATTACTTTGTGGAATTAGAAATCGTCACGTGTCCAAATTCGTCAAAATCATAATAATGGAACAAAATGGACAGAAGGATGGCTCTGATACCAATTGGTATACTTTATTGAAGAATTTAATCTTCATACTTAGTATAGTGGAATTGAATACTTACCTTCTACCATTGATATTCAAGTTTGAGAATAAGAAATCCAAATACCCAATTGAGAGTATAATCTATGATCTCAACAAACACGAATCTTTAGCACAACCTTGACCTCAACCCTCTAGAATAACGCTCGAGAATAATCTCGCAAATATGTGTTGTATGGAGGTATATGAGACAAGAGTTTCCGGTCTACGTATATAATGTCTGAGTACCCATATAACTTGATGGAAAATCACAGGTATGAAATATATATATATATAATCCTCTTTCGGCAAACAGTTCCAATAGAAAAACCAAGGTAGGTAATGAATGAAAGATCATATCATCGCAAGCCATTTGAAAAATAGAACATGTAGTCCAGAATGCTTTTCTTTTTTCCTGGACATTTGAGAGTTACTCTAAATGATCTTCTGGCTGTAGGTGAACAATGTTGGAACAAACATCAGGAAGCCAACCACTGAGTATACTGCTGAAGAATATTCGATGCTCATGGCTACCAACTTTGAATCTGCTTACCATCTTTGTCAACTTACACATCCTCTCCTGACAGCATCTGGAAACGGAAGTGTTGTATTCATCTCCTCAGTTGCAGGCCTGGTGAATGTATTTTCTGGATCCATTTATGGAGCAAGTAAAGGTAAGTTACTCCCATGGTATAGTATTTTTGTTGGATTATTACAGGGTAGAAGGTTGATGGAAAAAAGTTATTTGCTCTCAGTTCCTGTTTGCCATTTACAGGTGCAATGAATCAACTTACAAAGAATTTGGCTTGTGAGTGGGCAAAAGACAAGATTCGGGTCAATTGCGTTGCACCTTGGTACATCAAAACCTCACTTGTTGAACATGTAATGTTCTTTTCATCTCCCTCTTGATTTTCTTAGATTTTATAAGTTTTATGATGTGGACTATTGGATTTATACATTTGCTTGCCAGATGCTACTAAAAATATAACAGCAAACTCTAGGGAACTAGCGGATGTGATGTTCATGGAAATTGCTGCATTCTTGAAACTAGCACTCCTATTCTATTCTAGAAAAATAAGCTTTCTGTACGCAGTTGATTTATGAAAGGTCATTCATTTTTATGATAATAAAGCATATTACTCCTCCATCATCACTACCATAAAGGATTCAATCTTTATTTAACAGCATTGATGCTTGCATCTTGCTTATTCTGGTCATGAACCTGAGATCACAAGCGACTGATGAAAAAAGAAATTCAAGAAACAAAGGAATTGGGAGCATCAGTCACTTTTTGAGGCAAAAAAAAAAAAAGAAAGAAAACAGTGGAATGTGTGGGTATGAAGAATTACTTGGGAATATAACATGCTCTAGTATTATGAGTATTTACTCTCCGATTTCTTTTGGCTATTAGAAAAATCTAGTAGTTTTAGAATTTTTAGTCTCAAGGTCCATAGCCTTAAGGTAACCTCTGTAGTAATGACTTGGAGGTTATAGTTAGTAGCTAGTCACTTGCTTGTAAGCATCTTGTCACCAACTAGCTTGTAAGCTACTTGTCACCTGGTAGATTACTTAAGCTTCAAACTACTCCAACATTAGGTACAACTTTAAGTTATTTCTATATATTTGGTAGCAGTTAGTACGCCGCGCAATTTCTACTTGTTTACACTGTGTCTGTTAAGTGTGATTCTAGTTCTAGTGAGGTGAGAGGTCTCACCCCATCCTCCTCCTTATATTCTTTTATTTTCATTATCCTAGTACTGTCAAAACTATCATACTCTGAGTTTGGATCAAATCTCTGCCATCCTACATCAGAACTAATAGCTGATAAATTTGCCATCATCTTTAAAATCAATCACATTTGTAGTTCCTTCTCCTCCTGCTGTTACTGATACAACTTCTATCGATAACTTTTTGGGAAGAGTATAAATGTTATTCTGATCTCATGTACCACTAAATCTATAAAACATTGACTTATGTGTTGTGTGTAAGTTTAATTCGCATCTTTTCAGTTTTGATGAAAGTAATGGTCAGAAATTGTCACTTCAGTGCTGAATTAGACCCACAAATTCAGTACATTAATGACATGTGGAAAACCAGATCTAATATAAATGAAAATCGGTGCAAAACATGAGGGTACTGCAAATTAAAAAAACCTGAGGGCATAATGACAGAAAACATTTATCAATCATGATAATGTGTGTGTTATCATGATTAAGCAATTTCCATGGAATTGTAGAGATAATTATCATGATGAAGCAATTTCCATGGAATTGTTTCTAATTATCTCTCAGAATAATTTCCCTTGTTTCAACATAATTGAGTGCAAAGAAAAGAAGGCATACTATCTGGTGCTGTGTGTTATCATGAATCTGGTATTGCGTGCTGAATAAACCGAAGTATATCTTTCTTGTGCCGCAATAGACGTGCATTCTCTAAGTCTAATTTTTTCTAGCTTCAATGCATGGTTCAAATCGTAATTTCAGTTGGTGACTTAGTCAGCATGGAGATGCATAGTTATAGCATGACGGTGCAAATCTTTCTTGTGCTACAACAGAGGCATCTCAGTTGGCTTAATTTATCATTATATTGTCAGATCTGTTAGGAATAAACTTGTTTTGTTTTAGCAATTTAGAGTTGGGCTACAAGTTCTTATCATTCAAATTATGGAAAAACTTTTCAACTGATGCGGAAGTCTCTGTTTCCTGCAGTTGCTTGAAAACAAAGAGTTCCTGAAAAATTTGGTATCTAGAACTCCTCTAAGGCGTCCCGGAGAACCAGAGGAAGTCTCATCCCTGGTGGCTTACCTTTGTCTACCGGGTGCCTCTTACATTACTGGGCAGATTGTGGCTGTTGATGGGGGTATGACTGTGAACGGTTTTGAGTCTTAATGGTAAGAACTCCAATTCATGGAATGTGTTCCTTGTGTTTCTGCCTCTCGTGTGTTTTCAACAGGCACTTCAATAATGTAATTTTGTGACTTTTGAGTCAGGATGATGTTTTCTAAAAGCACAATTCTTTGATGTTTTCAGTACTGTCTTATTCTCTGTTTAGTGCAACGTAACTTCTCATATGTTGCCAGTGCACTCTAGAATGGAAGAAGGGAAATGGAAGGGAAAAAGATTGTTTAAGAGCAACTTTTTAATTGAATATGAATCCAATTCATTATTATCAAATTTGTGCAATTTGCGATTCGATTCGATTCGATTTTATGCGAATTACACCTTAATCGCAAGAATCTTATGTTACGATTCAAACCGAAAGAATCACACAATTTGTTTTATTATTTTTTTAACTTTGTTTCTAGTACAACGATGTTTTGTTAGAAGAGGCTCACTCCCAAACATTAAACTTGTATCTCTCTCTAAATCTCTTTTTTGCATTTTTCCATCTCGAATGACTGTTAACATCACACAGAGACGACGTCTCTTTCACTTTAGGTATGTTGTTTCTTCTTCTTCTTCGAAAATAACTACCAAATCTTAACATATCTTACTTCTTCTTCTTTAATAAATACTCAATTTTTATTTTTTTTTATCAAAGATTTATTTTTCAATTGAATGTGGAAAAGTGATTTTTTAAGTTTACATATTTGACTGAGTATGGGATTTTTCTATTTTAGTTTAACTTCATTGGTAAGAAGATAACTATTTGTTAGTTAAAAATCATACATATTCTATCGTGTCCATTTTGAGGGAACGATTTATTATACATTAAGAAAGAAATAAAATAGATGTAAACTGAAGTGTAGTTTTATAAAAATTTATAAATGTTAGCATCTTTTTATTTAGACGATGTGTTCATATCAATACCATCAATTAATTATTTTTAAAATACAATAATGTTTAAATTTTTAATAACTTATCCATTTTAAATATGTACAATATTTTTTATCATAATTTAAATTTTATATCGAATCTTACGATTCCTGATATGAATTCTCGAGTCGAGAAGGTCTCGGGGACCAATCTTGAGAAGGTAGGATCCAATCTTTAGTGTCACTTTGTACATTATGTGTTTCTTCCTGATGATTGAGTCCATCGATGACATGTTGAACTTTATTCATGGAATAACTTCTCATGTGTTTTATGACAATTATCTCACCATCAGTCAAGTTTTTGATGATGTTATTGAAAAAGATCGAAGTCACGGTTCTTAAATATCAAAGCTATAAGATAACGTTCGAGAGAATTTCTTAGACATGTGTACAAAATTCATGCAAAGAAGTGTTTGCATGAATCTTTTTAGTCATGTTAAAACATTCTTAGTTTAGTTCAATAGCTCGTGAGTCTCTAAAATCCGACGATGTAGGTTAAAATCATACGCAGTGTGATGTGCTTATATTTAATTTATTTAGTTTTTGGTTAACCAAAAATCCTTCTAATTACATCTTTTAAATTCCCAGTTGCAATGTGAACTTTAAAAAATAATAATTTTTTTTTTCAAAATACATTACTTAAAAAAAAAATATCATTGTGTACAATATCTTATTATATAGATTAAACATAACACTTGTCTGAAGGCTTGACACAACAAAAATTTCGAATGTCTAAAAAATTAATGTCACTATGAAATAGTAATTTTTTTTCTTCTCTTTTTTTAACTACATAATTTAAAATCAATTGCTACCTATTATTTTTTGAACAAAATTAACAATTTTTTTTTTAAAATACATAATCTCAAAAAAGAATATCTACATGTGTATATATTATCATACATGAATAATATTTGAACTAAAAATTATATTGATTCATAAATTAATTAATAGTTAAATATTTAAGTTGTGATAGACACGGACAAAGAATATATGGGATAAATGAGTTAAATTCTAACTATTTTATTTGAGAGATTTTCAAATATGACACTTGGGGGGGCTGTTTAGTGAGTGGGTACCGGCGGATCGACAAGATGGGTTTGGAGAAATATGGTTCAATAGACTCTCAAAACTCTTGTTGTTTTGATTTCTTTTTCAAGCCATGAACAGCAGTCACGAGTGATAGCTAACCCGACACCTTAAACCCTTAAACGCGTTTCATCAAACCCATGGGGTGGGTTGATTCCAGTCAAGCCAAGCTCAGATTAGTAAGATAAATATTATTTGTACATCTGAATTAAACAAATATAAACATGTATTGAATTAGTCAATGGTCAATATAATTATTTATAGGATAAATATATAATAACAATGGTGATACATTTGTGGGTCTCGCATGTGTATAAGTTACATATCAAACATATGTTGAATTCGTCAATAAATCTCATGAAAATAAAGATTGGGGTTGAATTTGAAAAAATTTGGAGAAACTAATCCAATCCGTCTCCAAAAATAATCCAAACAAGGCTTTAATGCTTGGAGTTAGTTATCAATCGGTTAAAGTAACCATGGTTGGAAGGTTGGTTACAAGGGTTAGTTCCAGCATGCTTTTGAGTCACCTCATGAAAGAGGCGACATTGCTTGCCACCACACACTTCTCTACGTGCCATCTCTTCAGTGATTGCAGCTTAAGTTTGACGTCTGTCCATCCACCAAATTCAGCTTTAATTTATTTACATTTGATTTAATTTACATTTATTAATAATAATCCATAGTTGAACTCATTCTGCAATATAAAAAATTAAGCATTAATTATATAATATTTTATATTTTAAATATTAATTTATTTTTTTCTTTAATTGTGTAATTTAAAATTAAAATGAACATAAAAAATATTATAACGAGATACTTGTGAATTAATGAGATTGTTTGACATCAAAGGTTGTATAAAGAAAATGATTTTTTTAGCGGAAAAAAAATGGGATGAATTTTATATTGTTGGATCGAAGGAAATAAAAATTGATCAATTTTAACTGTTATTGTGTTTTTATAAATTAATAAATCAATTTATTTGCTGTAACATTAGAGAGATATAATAAAATACAAAACTCCAAAACATAAATTGAAATTATAAAATTAATTTAAGTTTAATCTACTATTTTATTCTACTCCTATATAGGAGAAGATATGTGTCTATTGGCCTTATAGCAATTCAATGATTAAATTAGAGATTAATTTATTATGTTAAATTCTAAAAAAAAAAATTGCAATTGCAATTGCAATCAATCTAATCTAAAAGCCAAGTCAAATACTCAACTCATTTTCTATCAGGCTACTCATTAGGATTGATTTTTTTTTTTTGGGTATCGGAGAAAATTCTTGGTCAAAATTGATTTCATCTATTACTAGCAGTTTGTTTTGTATCATGCATCTAATATTATTTAATTATAAAGTATTAGACTAATATGAAATCATGTCATAAGAGAAATTCATATTATGAGAAATAGAATATTAAATTAAAAAATAATTAACTTAATTTAATATTACTTCGAATAACCAAACCAAACATGCTTTTTTCATATTAGCTAGATTAAATTATTTTTTTAAATAATGAAAAAGGGTTCCGGAGGATAAACGATATAAAACTCATGTCTGAGCATGACTATAACGACCTAAATCTATAATGGAAACCCATCAATTTAGGTATTAAATAGTATTGGATTGGACAACTCCGTTAATTTCATACCATTTCATTCAGGCTTTGGACTAATTATAATGATAATGTCTACTCATTTCATGTTTGATTCAAGTATTAAGAAATAGTGAACTCTATGTTTATTTCATTCAATATTTTATTCGGATAAAGTATTGAATGATGATATAAATATTAAATTATTAAAAAACCCTCAAGATAATTATATTTCTATAGATTTTGTAGGGTAAAAATATTTTTTGTCAAAACATACCCCAATCGAATTATTTAAAAACACCAAATACGTGAATTTATTTAAAAGGTTATATAAGGGTTTAAAAATACTATTCATCCAGGCTATGCGTTTTTTAGGTGATAATATTGGGTCCAATCAAAACAAGAGATTAAATTGGATAAAGTGGGTCTCTGCATTATTTTGTCCTAGATTCCAGCATAATGCAATGCTTAAGCTAAACACACCCTAAAAAAAACATTGCAAATCATAATACGATGAGAAAACATTAAGGACTCGTTTGGTAGACGTATTATAATAGAATTAAACATTAGATTATATTATTTTTTATTTAAACGAACATAATACTTTATTTGTAAATAAATTTGATACTGTATTAATTTCAAAAACGTATACTAATCATATATTTATCGCATATTTTTTATATGATAAACTTGTATTTATGGAGGTATTTTAATACCATCAAAATAAATGGTATTATAATCCAACTCAAACATATTATTCTATAGATTTACTATTATAACCCCACAATTGATAAAATTCAATTATCATCAATGTAACAACACATTGATTGAGGGTATTTTTGTTAATTCAATATTAATACCATCAAATAATGTCCTAACCAAATAACTAAATACCGTATTTAATCTTATTTTTTATCTATATAATAAAGTAGCTAGTTTGGTTTGTCTTGACCTTTTCGTGACTCATATTAATTTAGTATTATTGATTCGACGATTATAATTAATCTAAATTCCTACAGAACTCTACTACATTTTTTTTATCTTTATTTATCTCCATTTAAATCATTGGAGAGATATTTACATTCTTATAGGACCCTGCTACATTCTTTTTATCTCTCCTCATCCCCATTCAAGAGATTAGCTTTGACAGTTATATATATAACAAACAAAATATATTCTAATATCTATTAAAACTCTAATAAAAAGATTATCTCTAATAAAATATAGGTCATTAACATATGTTGTCCTGTATATCTATCTATATATATATAATTCAATCTATATAATAAGCAGTTCAAACGCGCACTTTAAAATTTATATAATAAAATAGTTAGATTTATTTGTCTTGAGATTTTTGCAGCTCAGATCATTTGAGGATTATTGATCCAACGATTCTAATTAGACTTTTATTCATTTTAAAACTCTAAGACTCTTATTTGTAATATAACTCTCTTTCTCTTTGTATCTCACACAACCAACTCTCATACATATATAACTTTCTCTCTCTCCCTCAGAGACATTCTATCTTTGTGTGTATATATATATATATAGAGAGAGAGAGAGAAAGAGATAGAATAAAAATCAAATTAAGATCGTTAAGACAAACAATGTTATCTCATACTTTATCTTTTAGTATTATTTGTTTGTCTTGACGATTCTAATTGGACTTATTTACTCAAAACATTTGTATGATTTTATAGATTACAAAATATTTAAATATTAAAAAAAATTCTCAGGTTGTAGATATTTAAAAGCTAAGCTAATCACAAATAAAAAAAAATTAAAAGTCAAGTTAATCACCAATAAAAAATAACAAGTGTTACCAATTGCAAAAAAAAAAAAATTCAAAATCAAGCTAATCACTAATAAAAAATAATAAGTGATGTCAATTGCACAAAAAAAAATAAAAAAATTATGCGCACACACAAAAAAAATATTTTATACCAACTATCAATTTTTTCCCTTATTTGCATCGTTTTCCCCTTACTAATGTTTATATTTTTTAAATACGTGAATAGTTTAAAATAAACACCAAAGCGATAAAAATGACAGTTAAATAAAAAAAAAAAAATTAAGTAGTGAAATTTTGATTTTGTTGTTTTTGTTTAATTGTAGCATGAGAATATTTCTGTAACATCCGAGAAGTTATAGTAGAAGATAATTTAAATCAATCATCCTTGCAGTTACAAGCAGATTTGCTGGATAATATTATTTAGTCGGATATTTTTTCTATTTTTTAAAAAATTTATTCGTAATTCAATATGAACTAGAAAATATTTTCATTAGATTTAACAAAAGGTTGAAAAAATAAACACTTATTGGAAATATAAACCGTTATGAAGAAATATATGACTGAATAATTTTGTAATGATTTTAATTTAAGTTAATAGGGATTTTGAATTGTGTTAATGTAATATAATTTTTTCATTTTAATTTTTGGACTTATTTTATTTAAGACATTCCTGAATATCCTATTTGTTTTGCAAATTTTTTGTCTTAAGAATTCCTTCTGTCGCAGATAATGACTAGTTTATCTATATTATACTACTATTAGACTGTATTAAAATGTGTTAAGACTGCAATTATTGGGTCTGGACCACCGGCCTAATTAAAATGTGTTAAGACGGCAATTATTAAATCACGTTAACATAAATGTTCCACGTTTTGTGGTAGCCACGTGTCGAACATCGGGCTGACCAAATTTTCAGATATTCTGCAAGCGTCAAAGACATTGACACGTGGTCCCACACCTGCCCATTTTCCCTGACCCTTTCATTACACAGCTGGAACAAACCCAGAATAAAGAAAGGGTAGTTAAGTTTCAATCATAGACGAACCCCTAGGAGCGCTTTAGCTCACGTACTGCTTTCTAGATTCAAACGTGTTAATTTCTGGTTTAAAATGAACTAAAATTCAAATTCAAATTCTTGAACTAAAATAAAATAAGTTTGATTTGTTTGAATCTTGATTTTTTTAGAGTAGTGTTATGTATTTTAAATTTGTAATCTAAATTTATATCTCAAATTAAAAAAGATCATTGGATCAGTGAATTCTATCAACCTTTTTAAATGGGATCCACTGATCCTCCTTCATTTAGAATGTAAATTTGAGTTACAAATTTGAAATACATATCATTACTTTTTTTTATTAGTTTATGCAACAATTTTTTAGATTTTATTTATTTTTTGATCAAAAGATTTAAAAATATTTATTTAGTCTCAATTAAGAAGTTAATTTTATGAATTTTTCTTTTGATTTTTTGAAGTCTTGTCGTAGGTTTTACATAATTTTTTAGTTTATTATATTAATAAAATATTATTTATCATGTAAAAAATTTAAAATTCATATGTATAATCTATACTATATTACATGTAAATTTTTTTTTTATTTTGACATAAAAAAAGTAGAAAGTAACTCCAAACAAATTTTTTTAGTTTTTAAAACAACCCCCCAAACAATTTTGGAGAATTTTTTTAACTTCAATTTTTTTGTGAAAATTTTCAAACCGGAGTTTTATTTTTACCTAAAATAGTCAGCTCCAAACTGACTCATTTTCTATCAGGTATAGTAAGTTGTAAATTACGTGAGACACATAGAGGATATTCCGAAAATGCTTATAAATTATGTACATATTAATTTCATATATAATAAAATATTTATTTATACTTTTTTAAAAAAGAAAATTTTAAAATTAAAAATTAAAAAATAATTTTTATTTTTTCTATCTTACCAAATACAAAAAAACAAAAACTAATTATTTTTTTTAAAATAAAAAATATCCCTCATATTTTTCATTTGTCCTAATTTTCATCTTTCTTATCAAGGATGGATTAAACTAAAAGTTAAAAATTAAAAGTTAAAATTTATTTGGTCCCACCCACATTCTCAAATTATCACTGACCTCAAACGGTCAGTAGGTTGGTACATCTTAGTTCCACGTCAACCTATGATACTTTGATGAATCACTCTAATGCCACGCGCCATAAGGTTTATGGGGACACAAGATCATACACGAATCTTGTACTCCCACGATCATGCCACGTGGTTATATATTTCAGCAAAACAGTTCGAGAAAGACGCCATTCAATCTGAAAATATCTAGTAGGGACCCAAGCTGATTGAAATTAAAAGTGGGTTTTATTTATTATGAGAATATAAAATTTCTCTAACAATTACATTAAATAAAGTTCTTAAATTCTTATAACCTTGCTTATACAATTTTAATGAACTAATATAAAGAGAAGCGGGTAAGAAGTCAAGCTTAACCGCATGGGTAGTTTAGCAATGTGACGTTAGACTTTGGATAAATCATAGACTTGAATATTTATATTTTGACCTTGTTAGTATCTTATAAACTTAATTGATACATGTTATTTAAACTTAATTGTAGGTATATAAGGTTTACTCTTATTGTGAATATCTAATTTTTTTTTTTGGGTAAATTATAAAAATATCTCTTTAGTTTTTCTGTTTCTTTATTTTTTGGGGATAAAATTTGTATTTAAAAATTAATATATAAAATAGAGAGTGCAATAGTATATTTTCATGTTCCAATTATAATTCTCAGTCAATTTAATTCATTTAAAATTTAAAAGGAATAAATTATAATATTTAGAAAGAAAAATACTTGGAGAGAGTAAATTATAATTAGATTATAATTAACCATTCTTTTTTTTTTTGACCAGACAATGTGATCTAACTTGAAGAGGTTTGTCCTTTAAATAAAAAACTAAGGTCGTCCCAGGACCATATGCGTGTCAAAAAAGAGCGGTCCTGTCACCCAAACCGTGTACAACTCTCATTGGCACACGTACATCACATCGAATTTTTCCCTATACGTGGTGGTCTCTGGAGAGGAGAGAGAAATAAATCGACAAAACGGACGGTCAAGATCACCAGGTTGTATTCAGAGTTGTAACGTCACACCAACTGTAAATGTCTGATACTGCCCGTGACGTTGACGGACAGCTGCCCGTAAATAGGCCCCACACCATCAACAGTATAATTTGGTCTCCACCCTCCATAAATGCCTTGCTCAACCTCAATGTATCTCGTATCCCTTCTTTCGGTGCCCTTTGCATTGAAATCTCTTTCTCTGATTCGAGCTTCGTACATAGTTCTGGGTGTTCTCCTTCTTGAATTCTAGGGTTTGTTGTTGAAGACGATTTTTGAGACTTCGGGCTTTGTAATGGCTGGGATGTGTTGTAGAGTTCTGGGAGAAACTGAGACTTCTGCTACCGTTGAGGCGGGTTCAAAATCAGCGAGGCGGAGGAGATTGGAAATTCATCGGTTCAAGCTGGTTGCCGCCGACGCATCTATACAGACGCCGGAGACTAATCGGAAGAGGCAAAAAGTAGAGGCCGTAAGTCTACCGGTTCTACCACCACGTGAGTGGAAGAACGCCGTTCGGAATATTAAGATTAATGAAAATCAACTTGCTGAAGATGGTAAATCAGAGTCGAAGAATATGAATCAGTATGGATCTCCGTCGCCGTCTGAGAGAATCGAGGGCGAGGTGGTCTCAGAGTGTCCGAAGTTTGGTATGACTTCTATATGTGGAAGGAGGAGAGATATGGAAGACGCGGTGGCGATACATCCATCGTTTTGTGGTCGGAATGATGAGATTCCGAGTGGTTTACACTTCTTCGGCGTCTATGATGGCCATGGATGCTCACATGTAATCTTCTTGATCCAACTCATTAAGACGAATCAAATCAGAAATTATAAGGAAAAGACGATTGCTGATGTTGATTTGCTTTGATTTTTGTAGGTGGCGATGAAGTGCAGAGATCGAATGCATGAGATAGTGAAAGACGAGTTTGAGAGTAAGGAAGCTTCATGGAATGAAACGATGATGGAGAGCTTCTCTCGTATGGACAAGGAGGTGATTGAATGTAGCCGTGGTGCAACTGTCTCGAGCGCGAAGTGCAGGTGTGAACTTCAAACTCCGCAGTGCGACGCCGTTGGATCTACTGCGGTTGTTTCCGTTGTGACTCCGGACAAGGTCATCGTCTCCAACTGCGGTGATTCTCGCGCTGTGCTTAGTCGGAACGGCGTCGCTATTCCTCTCTCCTCCGATCATAAGGTTATTCTTCATCTTCCAATTAATCTTCCATATTAGAAAACATCAAACTCCTTTTGCTTCATTCAAAACAATCTGTAGTTGTGGACTCAAATCTCTGCTTGCTTGAAATGCAGCCTGATCGACCGGACGAACTCAGTCGAATCGAAGAAGCCGGTGGCCGCGTCATTTTCTGGGACGGTCCTCGAGTTCTCGGAGTCCTAGCAATGTCCAGAGCAATCGGCGATAATTACTTGAAGCCATACGTGATTTCAGAACCGGAAGTAACCATAACGGATCGTACACCGGGCGACGAGTGCCTAATACTCGCCAGCGATGGTCTATGGGACGTGGTGTCGAACGAGACCGCTTGCAGCATCGTGCGGATGTGTCTGCAAGCTCAAAAGCCACCGTCGCAGCCGGCGAGCAGCGTAGGCTCGTCAGAGGCCGTACATAGCTTCGATAAGGCTTGCTGGGACGCGTCGATACTATTGACCAAGCTTGCTTTGGCTAGGCGTAGCACCGATAACATAAGCGTTGTGGTGGTGGATTTGAGGAGAAATCTATAGCTATACAAGGTTGGGGTGTGGGTTTCCTTTCTTTTTGTATGTAATCTTTTCCGGCTGGCGAAGCTCCGGTGCCAGTTTCATCTTTGAAATTGTAATTATTATGTTATTTTTTTCTTATTAGCAACGCTAATTTTCTTTATCGGGAAAAAGGGTAAGAGTAATCATTCTCTTTTTTTTTTCAAGTGGAAGGATGGAGGTAAGAAGAGCGTCCAACAATCGCTCGTTAAGTCTTTACTGACGGGATTTTAAGATCGTGCTTAAAACACTGCTTAAGAGTAGACTTAGTTAAGTTAATCATTAGACTCTAATAAGGATTTCGGATTTCAACTTCTTGGTTCGAACTAAGACTGAGACTGATACTACCACTAGACTACTTTAGTCGATTGTAGAGTAAACATTTTTTACTGGTAGAGATGGCAATGTTACTGAGACTTCAATGAAATCATAATAAAGATATTTCATAATAACTTGAAAAATATGTATTATTTACCATCTAGTAGTTAAATCATATTTTTTTTAGAATGAATATTATATTATAATTTGAACTTTAAAAAAAAATTGATTTAATGTGTTGATATAATATTTTGGTAACTTTAATTGTTGGATTTTTTATTAAAATTTTATTACTTGACATATTATTATTAAAATTTTATTATTTGACATATCATTACATTAAAAAATTATACTAAAATTTTAAGTTTTAATAACATTATCTAAAAATGGGATTGGAGAAGTGGTAATGTTAATCTATTATTCATTATTATGTCTAATTCGTTCATAAATAAATATAAATATATTTGGTATGTATATTAATAAATATGGGTGTTAAATAAATTGGGTAATAGCACTCATTTTAATTGAGTGAGTTACGATTGATTATAAATATGTATTTATTGAATTAAGTATTTATTTATTTTATTAAACAATAAAAATGATAAAATTAAATAAATGCATTAATATATTAAAAATATACACACACTAATCTATATTATATATCATACTACTAATAAAAGGAAGCTAAATGAAAATTTTTGGTTGACTGTAATATCCTTCATATAATATATAATTTTCTTTCATCTTCTTCAATTAATTACGTACTCTTCTCTTATTGTTTTATCTCTTTAAATTAGTTAAGTTCATATACTTAATATTTTATGTATTCATTTCAACTTTATTTATTGATTTTAACTAACAAAGTTCATACCATTATGAGTAATTACAAATGAGTTACAATACCACCACTTTGTTTCTCCACAAAATAAACTCAGTAACTTTTGGTCTTTTAATCCTAACCACATGAATTTATTTGTGGTTTTAACGTTTGTAGACCAAAATTTTTTTGTGACTATAACAAAACTTGAAATTTTTTTCTTGAGTTGGTGTTGAACCTGAAAAAAATAAAGAGTTTATGGTAACTATAAAAAATTTTCAAACTTTTTCTCTATTTCTTATTGGGTTTCAACGATTAGTGTAATTTTTTATTTTATTTTATGTACTTGTTTAACATGAAAGTGTTTTCTCTATATCGTAGAACTCAATTCCTATGTAATTATCTTTGTCCCTATTTATATGTGTGAGGTCTTGAGATTTTTCAAAAAATAAAAAGAGCTTGGTTTGTCTTTGTATGCTAACGACATTGATCATAAATTTTCGTGCACAAGCATAATGCTATAAGAGCTTACACTTGTTTCGTTTTTTGGCCATTCGATTGAATGTTAGTTGGACAATTACTTTCAATTTTACCTGCTCATTATTTTTTTCAACTCTATCTTGAAATTTTTTTTTCAAGAAATTTGCAAATAAATAGTTAGAGAAATAAGATTTTGTGACCCTTTTTTCAAGTGAGTATGTCTTGTATCTGACATAACCGCTTGTTAGATAGTCAATCTTTTTATTGGGTGTATATTTACAATATCAAATACAATTAAATTTTATAAAAGAATGATTAATATATAGACACTATTTTATTGAGTTTAATCCTATTGTTTTTGTTTAATGCAAGTCAAATTAAGGTGTTGAAATTGTAAATATCACAACAATTTATCTAATACTTTTATTGATTTTTTGAGTAAGAGGTTTGCATCTTGAGTTTTATATTGAATAGTAAAAAATTTAAAAAAACATTGGTTTACGTACCTTTAAAAAATATTATTTGTTTTGAGCCAAGTAAATAGAAATTGAAACTTTTTCAGCCTTTGATCCCTCACTCCCCAAAAAAATGAAATTAAAATGACTATTTTACTGAACTTATTTCAATTATTTGAAATGTTGGGATCACTTTTTCTAATTTTGGTGCTAAACAAAATATTTGTAACGAGATTCTCCACGTGCAAAGTATGTGTACACCAACTACTATATTAAAAAATATACACATAAAATAATACACTAAAAAAATAAACATACATTAGTGCACCAAAACGTATGCACCTACAATAATACACCAAAAAAACACCAAAAACACACACACACCTAAAACTGATTGTGTGTCAAAAAAATCCTCAATTTATACCCTATTTGTTTATATAATCGAGTCCAACTATTATATCCATACACAAATCATTTATTAGACAGGTTACCCGATACAACTTGTGTGTCACCCGCTAAATAAGAGAATAAGTTAGAGTATTTCGAGTCCACACAAAAAATTATCAACTCACCACACATTACACATGTTTGACATGTTTACTATAACAATAAATTATAGCTGAACAAAAAAAAATAAAGATAAAAAATAAACATTAAATGATTACTAAATTTGAATGAATATGAAAGATGAGATGAGATGAAACAGAGGCTGAGAGACTTAACTTTAAAAAAAAAATTATAGTACCTCTGTTAACTGGTTAAACGGGTTGAAATGAATTTATGGGTTAAACACGAAACTGGTTCGTTTATTTTACGGGTCTGTCGAGTTAACCTATTAACTACCTGAACTCGTTAAGATTACAGTCAAACCCGCTAAATCCGTATTGAGCTCGTGTCGATTTTACGAGTTATGTTTAAAATTACCAAACCTAAAACTGACTGAAGATCGAACCCAACCCATTCTTACTGGACCCAACCCCGATCCAAAACTCAAATCCAAACCCAAACCCGATCCTAGACCCAACCACAACCCCTACCTAGGTTGGTGTATTATTCTTAGTATATGTATCTTGGTGTATTAGTAAGTATATTTGTTGTGTATTAGGATATATTTTATTTGATATATTAATATATGTTTATGCTCAGAGTTTTAATTATTTTAAGAATTAATGATTTTAACTCAATCCGCTATGATCTAACTCATTGTAACACTTTTATTAAGCAGGTTGAAAATATATTAGATTTATTTTGCATCAACTTTAATTTGAACCGGTCCATAACCGATTCAACCTATCCATTTCATACCCCTCTTTAGAACTAATCAATATAGTTATCGGATTAATTGTGAGTCATTCACTTCCAATTCAACATTCTGATGAATAAGCGCTTAATAATAAAGGAATGTTGTATGGTATTGTGACTTGGCAAAAAAAAACATTAACCAAGATCCTTCAAAAATTGCATTAATCAAGAGGTTTCAAGGATATAAAATAAAATCTTGTAAATCATCCTTAGATTAAAGGGTTTGGGACAATTGTCATTAGATGGTAAGCTACTTTTGAGTTACTTTTAATTTTTTAGAATAAGTTGAGAATTACTTGTATGATTTCCGGTGTGTGCATTAAGCTTTAATATTTTAATTATTTTTTTTTAATTTTAATTTATATTTAGGGAAAAAAAAAAGAATAAGCACTTAATTACAGAGGACAATTCTGGGTAATTGTTGTACTCATCCACATCTGAACAGTGCAGTGTAAATCGTGTTGCGTCGTGCTATTTTTTATGTTGTATCATTTTTTATTTTGTTGTATTCGTGTTAATAAAAAATTATATAATATTATTTAAAAAATAATTATTTTTTTAATAATCATTTTTTTTTGTCTACAGTACTAATTAAATACTTATTTTTTTATTTACAGTACCCGTTAATCCTTATTTTGACTAATTTATTTTACGTGTCCATTAATCGGATTATTTTTAATTTTGTATCAAGTTGGGTTCATATCGGATTCGAATTCGTGCGTGAAATTGATACCCCTATTGTACAGTTACCAATTCTGGGTAATTTTGGTACACACTACTGCATACATGATCTGAGAATCCCACACCAACTTGATACACAATTAATGGTTTAGATTCAATTGTAACAGAGTTTAAATCATTCATAAACAGGTGGATCCATAATCGATAACAACCGAACCAAATACGATTATAAAATTAAGCCAACGATACACGAATGAAGTGCACGAATTAAAAAAATGATACAAATCATTGACAACTCTAGTACGTGTACATTATCTCACTACCTATGGTGGACCTGCAAATTAACAGTAATGTAATAAAAATTAAATGAAACTCAAAAAATTATAATTTAAATGTATAACATTTTTTAGATGAATAGATTCCATCAACTTTATTTACAAAATAAACGAAATATCTTTTGGGGGTGGGGGTTGAAGGTGCATAGGATTCGAGCCAATAGAGTATAGCCACCCCTGGTTCATCTTTTGCTTTAAAGCTTATAATACTTTT